CCTCTCTCTCTCAAGAAACACCTTGAGAGAGAGAAGAGAAGAATGTGTTTGGTGGAGAAAAAAATTGGCTCTACTTTTAGACGAGTGACGTCAATTTACCAAGTAAATTAGAAGGAAAATAAGAAACAGAGTAAATAAATAAAATGAGAATTTTTTTTTTTTTTTTTAATTGTTTAATAAGATATAAGAAAAAAGTTGGTTATACTTTTAGACAAGTGATGTCAATTTACAAAATTAGAAGAAAAAAAAAGTAATACAATTATTTAGTAAAATTAATAAAAAAAATAATTTTGAGTAAGGTCAGCAACTGCCACTACCTCTTTATGAATATGTCCATGCGTGTATAAATTAACTCTCATATTTGAATGTAGGAGCATGATTTAGTCTCAAGATTTTTCCGTAAAACCTAAAAGGAGCATTTGGTTGGGGATTATATAAGATTATTGAGATTATATCATCTTATATTATTTGATTACTAAGTTTGGTTATCAAATAATATAAGATTTTGGTAATCTTCCAATACCAATAGTAGTTACTATTAGAGCTAATATAATAACCTCAATTTTCTTAAGTATCATAAGATAACGAAGGTAATCTTATTTTTGTTACAATTTTATCCTTCATTAATAACATTTTAGGACAATAATACCCTTATTTTAAAATTAATTTACATGAATCTGACTTTTACTATTTCACCCCAATTAATTAACTTTTTGGACAAAATTACCCTTGAATTCAAAACAAATTATGGCCCACCCAAGCCACCACCCCCACCCACCTACCGCCAGCCAAACACCGCCGGTCGCCCCTGGGAGTCACTGAAAGAAGTTGGAAATCATCATGAGTAGCCTACCTGTTAGACCGGTCGTCACGGTCACAAAATTAAACCTAAGTACCGTAGTTAGCGGTAAGCAGGGTCGAATCCACAGAGAGCAAGACTAACGACCTAATGTATATTTGAGTTAACAAAAGAGAAATTGGCAAAATGATTGATTAAAACTAAGGAAACTAATTACTTGCAAGAAATTAAAAGCATTAAATAAATTGTTAACTAAAACACAATATTAAAAGCGTTGTCGCTACGGGTTCGGTTTGACTCAAGACCAACTCTCACAATTCCTCTCCTCGCTCTTCAATTTCCTAATCCTACAAGGCTAGGCAAATCCATAGAAATATCTCCCGGCAATCTAGGCATAATCTATCCTGTCTCCCCGTCGTCTTAGTTACAGATCGATTGGTTAAAGACTATCATTGACTAACCGAAAAATGCTAAACCCTTAAACACCACTAGTTGGTACAACGTTAACAAGTACAACCTATCAACCTGTATCATCCAATCAACTAATTACACAATAAATGCATTCCTAGTAGAGATGACATTAAACGCTACTACAACTTGATTGCAATCAGTACCGAAGCAATTTAAAGTCATAATCAACATTCAATAATCTCAAACCGACATTCAATTATGCGAAAAGTTATATATCAATAAACGTTCTCAATGGACATTATCAATTCAACACATCGAGCATCAGAATAATATTAAAGTATCGCAAACAAACTGAAACGAAAACAAATATAATCTGAATACAAGAAACTTAACCAAATATCCAACATTCGGGCTCATCCAACTAGTCGAGAGCTGATGAGGAGATCAGTGGAGTCAATCTCGATCTCGCCTACACCGTAACGGACAACCGGGAACTCAGCCGCTCATGGTGGTGATGACGGAGGCTGAAACAGTGGAAACGGAGCTGATCATGGCGAAGAGGAGGTAACCGACAGCGATATGATGCGAAGAAGGGCCGAAAACAACCAACGGACAGCCCGGAATACGAACAGCCGCCGTTCGCCGGAAAACGTTAATTTTCCGGCGGGTCTCCGGAAAACGGTGGCGGAAATGGGATCCGAAGGTACCAATGGAAAGCTCTGGTGATGGGGAGTTCAGATCAGGTCCTGGGGAGGTGAGAAGTCGCCGGAAATGAGCAGGATCTGGCCTGGAAGATGAAGAGTCGCGACGGCCAAATCACGGATTCCGGCGGTTTTCGCGGCGGCTGAAGCTAGGGAAGTGTAGATCCGGCTGTGGGGAAGGGAGATCTACCCTTGGGGAGCTGGAACGTCGCCGGAAAACGGCGAAATCTCGCCGGGAAGACGAAACGACGCGGTGGTGGGAAGTCGTATCGTCGCGGTGTTGTGTGGCGGCTTGCGGTGGCGGCTTGCGGTGGCTGATGGTGGATCGGTGCTTGGGAAGATGAAACGTCGCCGGAGGGAGACGAAGGGTCGCCGGAAAACTGCGTGAACAGCCCCCCCCTGTGGACGCGATCTGCATTTTTGTTTTATAGAAGAATGTGTAAAATATCAGTTTAGTCCCTGCACAATTGAAAAGTGACAAAATCAGCCCCTTAAAACATGACATTTTACCCCCTAAATAGCATAAATGAGACAAAATCACCCTTAATCCATAAACCACAACCCAATATCAACTCATATATTTTCCAAAATCATTCCAAACACGTTAAATTCATAAGAAAAATATTAGGAAGCGATTTTCGTGAATAAATTCATAAATTCTTTAATTGTCTCAATATACTTCAATTTAATCACACATGGGGTATTTTTATCACCAAAATAGAGTCACTTTCATGACTCTAACACTACCGTCACCAGGAGGCTCTGATATGGCTGTTTCTGGCCACATTAATGGCCGAAAATGGCCATATTAGAGTAGATCTGGATGAAAATGGCTAGATTTATTCTAGCAATTTTCGACTAGATCGATGTATTTGGCCATTTCTAGCCAAATCTACTCTGATATGGCATTTTCAGCCATCAATATGGCCAGAAACGGCCATATCGAAGCCTCCCGGTGTCTCTCGGTTACTCACGGCGACTCCAGGCGACTTCCGACGGTGTATGGCTATGGCAGGCAATGGGTTGGGGGTGGTGGAGATGATTTTGTTATAAATTAAAGTTTTATATAAGTGGGGGTGTTTTAGCTAAATCTGAAATGTTGGGGGTTAAAAGAAATGATTAAAAAATTTATAATTAAAATAATATTATATTAATATTTAAAAAGAGGGTAATTTAGTAATTTAAATAATATACCCACCAATTTATTCCAACTAACCAGACACATTTTCCTAAAGATTCCCAGTAATTTTCAAGGTAATCTAACTTTCTAGTAATTTAACATTTCCAGTAATCCAACATTCACTGAACTAAACACAAAAGATATAACATGCTAATCTCATTGGTATGAACTCAAAGTTGGCCTGACGGTCAAGAAGTAATCCATTCATTAACTTCCTGGGTTCAAACTTTAGGACCACCTATCACATTTGTGACTTACCTTGGAAAATTAAGTTTGTAGGGTATTCAATGAGTTCTAGGGATTAGATCCCATGGATTAGTTAATCTTGCGTATAAACTAGCCCGGACACCTCGGTCATTAAAAAAAAAAAAAAAAAAAAAAAAATCTAATTGGTATGGAGAGAACATTTACTAAGGTTAGATAGTTAGGGGGAAAAAAAAATTTGTCTTTCTAAAAATCNAAGAAGTAATCCATTCATTAACTTTCTGGGTTCAAACCTTAGGATCACCTACCACATTTGTGACTTACCTTGGAAAATTAAGTTTGTAGGGTATTCAATGAGTTCTAGGGATTAGATCTCATGGATGAGTTAATCTTGCGTATAAACTAGCCTGGACACCTCGGTCATAACAAAAAAAAAAAAAATAATCTAATTGGTATGGAGAGGACATTTACTAAAGTTAGATAGTTACAAAAAAAAAAAAATAAATAAATTTGTCTTTTCGAATTTTCTTACCTCTCTTGTTTGAATTTCAAATGCTTTTAAAAAAGATTAAAATTACTTATGTATGTACAGTATAACCTCTCTATAGTTATAATAGTAAGATTAAACTAATTTATTACTATAAGGAGGTTATAACTTAATAGAAGTGTAATTACAAAAATTATTAATTTGATTTCCTATTTTATAATTCACATTTTAGTAGTATTTATTGGGAATTTTATTAATTATTTTAGTAGTATTAAGATTTCTTATTTACTTTTAATATTATTTGATTTCTTATTTTATAATTCATATTTTAAATAAATATTTTATTTTATCTTAAATCTTTAATACATATATGTTTTGTATTATACAGTTAATTATTATTATGTGGAGACAACTTTCTTAAGACAAGAATTTGAAAAATTATAATTTATTATAATATAGAGTTTATTCTTATTTATAACTATCACAAGTTAGGACTATAATTTTTTATAATTATATAAAAATTATATTTATATAAAGTATCACTATAAAGAGGTTTACTTTATATTTATATATTCTTTCATCCAAGCTTTACAACATAATTTTGAAAGTTGTTGGAACTAGTTTTCGTTTGTATAGTAGAAATGGTTTCTGAATAGTTGTAAATGCATTTAATTAAGAATGCTAGATTAAATTTCCATTGTTCAAAGCTTTTGATGATAGTAAGAAAAACGCGGTGTCATAAAATCTTTACAAGTAACTATCACCAATATTATTACAGCGTAAAAGCCATGCTATTGCAGGCCGACTCTGCCAAGATATATATATTTCTTGGATACTTCCTATAATTTATTGATAAATTCCACTTGACTTCTTCGAATTCGACATGCAGTTCTGCCCAAATTGAAGACCAAGGAGACACTTGATAGAGACACAATTTAGACTTTGTGAAGGGACCTAATACTCCTATTTAAAATCTGTTCCATCAGAAACAGAAACTTAAAACTAATAATAATTTCAGAACCATTTGATCCCCAGAGGAGAAAAGGTCCATGGTTTGAATCAGGCAATACTTCACACTACGTAAGATTGGAAAATGTTGAATATTCTAAATTACAATATCCTTTTTTGTTCCTTTCAAGACAAGTAACTTCGCTTCGTCGGAGGATTTACAAAGTCTTTATGAGAAATCAATATAAAAAGTTCAGGGACGGCTTGGTCTAATATTGATAATCAAATCAATAATTTGAAAATTGAAAATTCTAGTGACCCATTCCAGGATAACCTCATAGCTCCATTTGAACAGCCATATATCAAAGTTTCCAGTTTCAATCTTCTTACATCATACAACAACAAAGAAAAGAAAAGCCAAAGCTATGGAAACAGCCAACTCATTTAAGAGCTACAGTAAAGTCGATGAACTGCAAGAGCAAGAGTATCGCAGAAGAACCCGCAAGCGTCTGATCATCATCACTGTCTCCACCATTATCTTGATCATAATCATCGTTGGAGCTCTGGTAGAAACATTGACCGGAAAAGCCACATCGAAAAATACTCTGCGGCCAACCTACTCATCGGAATCTATCACTGCTATATGCAATGTTACTCAGTATCCGGCGTCGTGTGATTCTAGCATAGCATCTCTCAAGAGCTCCTCAAACATCACTGATGCGAACCCGAATCCAGAAAAGTTGTTCCAGCTCTCCATGCAAGTTGCAGTCAATGAACTGACAAAGCTTTTGTCTTGGCCGGACGAGCTCATATCCTCCGAGACTTATAGCAATATTACCAATGATCCTGCGGTGCAAGCGGCTTTAGATGATTGTAAATTCTTATTTCAGGACGCCGTTGATCATATCAATGATTCTATCACCTCGTTCCAAGTGGGTCAGATGTCCGGAAAGCAGATCAACGACATCAGAACATGGCTGAGCACCGCAATTACCAATCAAGACACATGCTTGGATGGAATATACGAAGCCACGAACCACACTATTCTTCCCCAATACATGAAACACGCTATGCGCAACGCCACTGAGGCCACCAGCAACTGCTTGGCGATTGCATCAAACATTTTGACAATCCTACTCCATTATGTGCAAACTCCGAATAATCGGAAATTATTAACAGTTGAAAGAATTTATCAATATCGGACGTTGAATGATGATTTTCCGGAATGGATCCGAAATGGGTACCGAAAATTACTGCAGGAGGAGAATCCTATAGTGGATGTAATAGTGGCAAAGGATGGTAGTGGAGATTTCGAGACCATAAACGAGGCCATAAAATTGATTCCCAAGAAGAGTACGTCGAGGTTTGTTGTTTATGTAAAGGAAGGAGTGTATGAAGAGAATGTGAATATTACAAAGGATTATTGGAATGTGATGATTTACGGTGATGGAATGAACAAGACGATTGTTTCCGGCAGCTTGAATAAGATCGACGGCACTTCCACATTCTTCTCTGGCACTTTTAGTAAGTAACCACTAACGTCTCTGTCCATATTATCCTTCAGTCATATCTTATTGCGAGTGTTCTATAAAATTCTATGTTGGTTTTAGGATTAATTCTAAAATTGAAGTAATAATTAAGAAGCAAATTAGTATTTTGTTGGAGTCACCCTGTTGTGTGATTGACCCAAATATAATTAAGTTAATAAACTCTTTACTCTTTACTAATACATCTAAAAAACTTTACTTTTCCAGTGATTAACCAATTGTATTTTTTTGCCTAAAATGCAGTTGCTGCAGGCAGGGGATTCATAGCAAGAGACATGGGCTTCAGAAACACAGCAGGCCCAGAAAAACATCAAGCAGTGGCCTTACGTTCATCCTCAGACAAATCAGTTTTCTACCGATGCTCCTTTGAGGCCTATCAAGACACTCTGTACACACACTCGAATCGCCAATTTTATTGCGATTGCCAAATCATCGGCACCATTGATTTCATTTTCGGAAATGCGGCCGTCGTTTTGCAAAACTGTAGCATCCAGCCCAGGCAGCCCATGCCCAACCAATTCATCACCATCACGGCCCAAAGTAAGACCGACCCAAATCAGAACACTGGCATGTCCATCCAACGCGCTGAGATCACTCCCTTCGACAATCTGACAGCTACCACGTACCTCGGTAGGCCTTGGAAGAATTATGCCACCACTGTTTTTATGCAATCAGATATTGGAGGATTTCTGGACCCAGAAGGATGGGCTCAATGGGTTGATGGTGTTGACCCACCAAGCACTATTCTTTACGCTGAGTATCAAAATACTGGGCCTGGATCAGTAACAGATGGGCGTGTGAGATGGGACGGTGTTCGGCCCAATATCACAGAGGCGGAGGCACTGAAATTTTCGGTGGAGTCTTTCATCCAGGGCAGCCAGTGGTTGCCGGATGCCGGTGTAATGTTTGATGGGAGTTTATGATGTGCATTGAATATACGTAGGATTAGGAAATTAATTAAATTGATTTAAATGATAGAATAATATTCAGTAATGTCATTTATTACTTTTATAAATTCTTTATATATATAGTAAAACCTTTCTATAGTTATAATGGTGAGACTAATTAATTTTATTATTATGAGGATGTTATAATTTAATAGAAGTGTAGTTATTTCTTATTTTATAATTCATGTTTTAGTAGTATAGTATTAGGATTTGAATTCATGCTTTAATAGTATTATGATTTCAATTCAACGCTTCAATTGTCTACTTTTTAAACAAATAAATGATCGTATTTTAGAACCAGTAAAGATAAGTGTCTTTGATGGAATTGTAAATACAGTTACTATATGGTTAAACTGATGTGAAGCCACAGACAACTACGAATTGTTTTAAGCATTACAAAATTATGAACACTGATGTCGATGAATTGCAAGTTATAAATAACGTGGATGAGAAGAATCAAATAGTAATTGTAGAATTGAGTGATCAGATTTGACAACTTCATTACACTAATCGAATGGATATTAATGTCTTCCTCAATCATTCAAATGAGCAACAAGTCGTGTATACTTTAACTGAAGAAGAAATCATTACTATAATTACACAAGAAAAGAAAGGAAATAACCATGAGGATGATAGTACGGAAATACAAAAAGTTTTGTGCTAAGAAATTCCAAACATGCTTGAGAAGCTATAAATTTTTTGCTTCAACAAAAACATGTCCATGCTAGCAAGTAATGTACTAGCAAGTTAAACAATGTGGTAACAATTGTAAAGAATAAATCATTCTCTCAAACAATTTTAAATAAATATTTTATTTCATCTTAAACCTTTAATGTAACAAATAATATTTTTTTTTTGCAATATACACATAATTATTTCTTTGTGGAGGCAATTTTCCTTAAGACATGAATTAAAAAAATTATAACTTATTACAATGTGGAGTTTATTCTTATTTATAACTATCCCAAGTTGGGAATAAAATTTTTTATGACTATGTAGAGTTTATTCTTATATAGAGTATCGCTATAGAGAGGTTTTACTATATATATATATTAAACCAAGACCTTATTATTTAGGTTATGATTTTGAGTTTGGTTATGATTTTGAGTTTAAATATAAGGATTCACTCGGAATTGCTAGTGAAGATATATTTTGTTCATGGACATTAACTCAATATATTCAATGTTTACAAATTTCAGTTTATTTAATTTTTTTTCTCCATGTTCAACAAGAAGTACTGAAGAGTATCATTTTAATAAAATAAAAGTCTGTAATGAGCCCATCGATCTATGCTATCTGACCATTCAAGAAGTAGAGCAAATTGAAGTCAAAACTAATTTAACATTTAGTATTGTAACTTTCCTAACCATACGATAAATTAAATCAATAATATGTAAAATTAGTCACTTTTATGTAATATAGGTTCTTTTTAAAATACACAAGTAGAAATAATGTGTATTATATGTAACGAAAAAATCTATAATACCACGGTGGTATCATATCATCCATATCACCAAGCAAGCAGTGAATTTGTGACATATTTAGATTTTTTCTCTCTCGTTTATTTTTAAATTAAGTGTGATTGATAGTTACCTAATATTAATATGCATGTATTATTTTGTGGTACATGTCAAAAATATATACTACTGTAGTATCATAAACGTTCTCGTACGTATATAGCTGGAAACTAAGCTAAAAACATGAAAACAGTCAAACATTGAGTGAAATGAACGAATAAGTTCAAGAAAATAAGACATGACGGGAAGAATTTATTAGGGTTCCACCTTGTACATGGGTTGCCATTGGTCTAGTTCCTAACGTATGTATTTTTTTTCTAATATATTTTTGCTCCGTTTATTATATATATTTCCTTAATTAGCACTTAGCAGGCTACTCTCTTGGTTTCCTCCGCCAATTTGTCCATTTTCACATGATCAAATCTTAATCTGTTAACATCATATCCTTGCAAAAATGGAGAGATTTATGTCTTGGCTTAAACCACACCTATCATCTCATACAAACAGATGATTAGATACCATTTCAAAATAAAACCGAAGGTTTTTATTATATAAAATCCACTTATGTTAAACAAACTTAACCGTCATGAAGATGGCTTCACGCAAAGCTCTGATCGAACTTATAGCTAGTTTTTGTTTTTTGAGCTCGTTTGTTCTTCTTGGTACATCAACAAGGCAAATCAATCAACAACGAGATTTGGTTTCCTTCGCATGTAACAATACCCTTTACGTTGAAGAGTGCTTATCATCGTTACGATCAGAACCTCTAAACGAGACATCCGATCTCAGAGGCCTCGCGAGTATAGCATTGAATCTGAGCATCGCTCATGGAGAGGAAACAAAAGGTTACATTGATGATCTGAAGTCGAAAAGTGGAAGTGAATCCAGATGTTTGAATGATTGCACAGAAGAATATGCCGATGCGGTTCAAAATCTGGAAGATTCAGTACATGCGCTAAGGATTAGGTATTATGATAAGGTGACCACATTGGTTTCGGCTGCAATGACTGATTCTGATACGTGTGAGGATTGCTTTGGGGAGACGGAAGAGAGGGAGTCTCCCCTGACTGAGAGAAACCAGTATTTTCACAAGTTGTGTAGTAATTTCCTGTCAATCACTAGCCTTCAGTTTTGATTTGCATGTTTTTTTTTTTTTTTTTTTTTTTTTTTCATATTATAAGCAGGCCATTTCATGTTAATTAATTCTCAATTATCAGATTAATGTTTTTGCATGTGGAATCAATATAAATCCTCCAATGATCATATCAACAATTTGAGCTCGATATGGTTCAAATTATGATATATATATATATATGGAAACGATTAAAATGTGTCAATGCATGTTTAGAATCAATTATAAGAATATAGAGTTAATTTCAAATATTCATTACACTACAAGTCTGCCCTAGCTATCACGCTACAAATTAAAGTCTTCATTGCTTTAATTTATAGTGTAAGGCTAATACAAATATAATCTTTAGTGAGATAAAATTTAACTTTACAATATGAATAATAACTAAATTAAAGATAAATTTTGCCTAAAATTTAATAAAATTCAATTAAACTTCATCGTTATTGTCTAGCTAATCCAAAACTATCATAAGAAAATTGTTCTGTACTGATAAGAGTTCGTTCAACATTGGACATTTGTATATAGTGCCTCTATGGTGCAATTGTGCATCGCAAATCTTTGATCGTTTTCTCGTTGAAGTTATCATTGATAAACATGCCTACAACAGTGCATAATAACACGAACCCAAACAACATTGAGTCAGTTTTCATATGTTTACTTCCTTACTTCATACTGATGAAGTGCTGCATTTATAGTTAATGTCCTTATGATATGTCTTCTTTAATTTCCTATATTAACATATAAATGATGATTGATTCGATTCATTAAATATGCTTAGTACTGAGAAATTTCAATCACATCATTAACATATTTACATAACATATTGCGGAAGTAAAATAACTTTAATGCTAACCTCCCGCCATAGCAATTGGTTGTAGATATTCACTTTGTCAATTCTGATTTGCTAATCTGCACGATTTTGTCTTCTTAGAGCCTTACAGATTTTTCTAATTCAGTGCAATTTCTAAGATGGTTTTTGGGTATATCATATTAATAGAATTGCATGCATTGGGAACCTATAATATCTTCCTTTTATACACATACTGTCAAGGGATGTAATTGCTCACAGTAGTAACTGTTTACAACAGTTATTCATTGCAGTTACTTATTTACTAAAACTACAATTAATAAAAGTACAGGACCAATTAGCAAATAATGAAATTTAATTAGAAATTATAACATTCTCCCACTTGGTCCAAACTTTTATCACACAATCCACATCATAGTAGTTTTAGATTCTTCATGTTTAAGCAGAAAAATAGAATTGCATGAATCATAGCGGCAAGTCCCTTTTAAACAAGTATTACCTTCTCGTAACGTTTGGTTTGGGAATTTTTTATTAATAAAAAGATAGGATTACCATTGAGATATATTACCTTAAGCATTAATAGGTGAATGTTATGTTAATATGTTTGGTTAGATTGGTGAGTATAAATAATTAAGATGTTTGGTTGGGAGGAATAAAATATTATCGGAGGGGTTTTTACTGAATGCCCTTCCTTGTTAATATTAATAATATTATTATATTGTTATTATTATTTAGAACATTTCTTTTAACTCCCCCTACATTTGAGAATTTAGCTAAAACATCACAACAACAACCAAAGTTTAAAATTTAATAAAATACATCGAGCCATCCAAGACAATTGTCGACCACTAGCCACCAACGCCAATAGTTGTCAGAATGACACATGACTGACTGGATCTGGAAGACTATGCGCCAATCTAGCTGCTTTCGACCAAATCGAAAGCCAGAAAGGGTCAGATGGTCATGGATCTAGTCGAAAAACAAGATCCATTTTGGCCATTAACATCCATGGATCTAGCTTTAATGATCCTATATGTGGCCGTTTATAGCCATGGATTTTGCCGAAAATGGTCAAAATGGATTTGGCCGTTTCCGGCTAAATGCATGGCTATTTGGCCATTTCCAGCCTTCGATTTGTTCAAAAAGGGCCAAATTCGGCCAGTTGTGCATCATTCCAACGATTGATGACAGCGGCTGGACGGTGTAACTAATAGCCGGCAATCATCTTATGTGGTTGGGGGTATTTTGGGTATTATTCGTGTAAATAGTGAGGGTATTTCTGTCCAAAAAATTAATAAATGAGGTTAAAGAAGTCATTTCGTACATATGAGCTAATTGTTATTTAGTAGATATATAAGGGTATTTGTGTCCAAAATGTTTATTAATTAAGGTTAAAATTGGTATGAATAATGGATTACCCCGGTAATAAAAAAACAACACCCTTTCAGATGGTAATCGAGTTACTCCCTATATTACCTACAGTAATCACTGTTGGCATTGGTCGATTACCAAAATCTTTCATTACTTGGACACTCAAACGTGGTAATTGCTGGATTAAAGATAGATTACCGCTGTTGTCTTTTGACCCCAAACCAAATGCTCGCTCCATGTATTACTATGCAATTTTCTCTCTTCTAAATAAACTCATAAATGTGGAATATTACTTTATGAACAAACCTCAAATGTTTGTTCCAGGTCTTTCACGATGTTTGTTATTCTATAAAATAAATGTATACAACTAGAAAGAGAAAAACAAACTAAATTTCAGAGTTTCATAGAATAAAGATATGAAAGCATTACCTTTTAAAGTGACAGATTGGGACATAATCCCACTTGAAACGCCATGATCCTTGAACGTCTTTGGTGGCATGCCTTTTGTCAGAGGATTTGCAATCATCAACTCGGTATATATGTGTTCAATAAACACTCGTTGGCTTAATGTGCTCTTTTATGCTAAGTACTTAATGTCTATGATTACTTTTTTTTTTTTTTTTTTTTTTTTGTTTGGGGGTGGGGGTAAGTAAATTTCATTATAAGAAAGAAAGAAAGAATATACAAAGGCCATAAAACTCGGCCAACTACTCGGACATGCCCTAGGTTAGGTGCAAAAGAATCAAGTAATCAAGAGACTACTATCTAAAGGATAAACTAGGCAATAGCATATACAAAACAAATGCCCACTTTCTCTGTTTTGCAATCTTCACACAAAAGATTATGAACAAGAGGAGCAAAACGAGCTAGGCAGAATAATGCTATACAAAGCACACTAAAGACAAAGGATACAAACCAAACTCAAAAGAAAACAGGAGAGCACACCTCTAAGAGACCGTCGAACCATCAAAACAAGCACACACCTGCAAAGGTCAAAACAACAAAGCAACACACATCTCACACAACCATAACATCCGTCCCAAGCTAACAACAAGTAAAGAAACCAAGGAGCACCTCCTCACCCAAACCAAACGAGCACCACACACCCGAAATCTCAAAGGCCTTACTCAACTAAGAGAACATGAAAAGAGATCTCGGCAACCCAAATTATGAGCAAGTCTAGAATTAATAGCGGCCTTCTTACCTTTTGTAAGGTCCATAGCCCTCTCCTCACAAATGTCTTGATCATATTCACCAAGGCTATGACATCTTGACTACCTCTCTCAAACAAACTTGTGGTTCTTCTCGCAAATATGGTTTACTGTAACTCCCAATCACAACCTCCTATAGCATAGTTAAGTTTCTTTGGTTTTTCATCTACAAGAAAGATGAGAAATATAATCTTGCCATGGCCGAATATAATACTCAAGGAAGCAAAGTCAAGAACCCGACACCAATGTTCTAGTGAAATCACAAGAGAGAAAAGATGATCCACGATTTCTATGTAATGATTTTAAAAATAGCCAGTGCAATTAGAGATAACTCCATACATCACCAATGTATCCTCGTTTGAATGTGATCTTAATGGCCAACCATAACATGATTGAGTGTCTAGGGATAGCCTTCGAAAACCACAAGAGATGAGCCACTCCACCCGATTCTTATGCATCCTAGTTAGTTTCCAAGCTGATTTATGTTAACGGTACCCGAGGGTTTGGAATCCATCTGACTCTATCTTCACTACCCAAAGGAGAGAAGTCTGTCGACCCTTTAACTCCAAGAGAGCCAAACAGTTTGTCACCGACCAATTCACCTGTACCATCACAAATCTCCTTAAACCTTTGCATAATATAAAGACCCGAGTCATAAACAATTCTAGGGCAGTACCTACTACTAATGGGCCTTTTGGGTGCCAATTGTCATGCCACAAGTTAAGTTTTTCCCCACTACGAACAATGTAAAAAATCTATCTTGACTTCTTCTCTCAATTTCAATATGCTCTTCCAAGCCCAAGAGTCATTACATGAGGTTGGGAATCCCAAATACTTTTCTTTACCAATAAAGTGCTTTTTAATCCAATCAACCCATGTGGAGTCTCCTTTATCAAGAGTAATGTTCCAATTATGTCACATTCCCTCTTGATTCCACTCTTGTTTCTCACAATTTGAGGCCTCCCTTCTCCTTAGGAACAATACCTTCTGCCAACAACTTGGCTTTGTTCTTTTCATCTTGAGCTCGACCCAAGGAAAGCTCTCAAACTAGCATCAATATCTTCCTGGACTTTGGAAGGGAGCATGAAAACTGAGGACCAATACACTTGAATGCTAGATAAGAAAATTTGATAAGAAAAACTCCACCCATATAAGAGAGAAACTTATTTTCTAAGAGTTAACTCTAACCAAAATTCTATCTAACTTAGGTTTTCAATCCGAATTCTTAAGTCCTTTGCAATGAGAGGGACACCAAGATCTTCATGGGAAGCTTGCCCTTCTCAAACCCAAAAATAGCCGTGAGATCCCTACTTTCTTCAATGGTAAATCCAGAGAAAAGAAATATTACTCTTGGAGTGGTTTGCAAGAAGACTAGCCCAAAAGGAGAGATCATCCAAAGCATTCTTCAAGAGAGAAAGAGACACGTTATTAACATGATAAAAGAGCATTAGATTATCTGCAAAACAAAGATGTGTTAGTTTGAAATTTTTGCATCTCTAATGGTACTTGAAATCCTTATTGGCATCGCTCTTTCTAATAATCTAGAGGTACCTCCATGATAATGACTAAGAGATAGAGGTATTGGTCCCTTGTCTTAGACCCCTGAACCACCA